GTGACCTCATCATCATCATCATCATCGTCATTGACTTCATCATCGTCATCGGCGTCATGGACTTCATCATCGTCATCATCATCATTGACTTCATCATCGTGACCTCATCATCATCATCATCATCATCATCATCATGGACTTCATCATCGTCATTGTCATCATCATTGACGTCATCATCGTCATCGGTGTCGTGGACTTCATCATCGTGACCTCATCATCATCATCATCATCATCATCGTCGTCGTCATTGACTTCGTCATCGTCATCGTCATCATCATTGACTTCATCATCGTCATCGGCGTCATGGACTTCATCATCGTCATCGTGACCTCATCATCAGCAGCAGCAGCAGCAGCACCATCGACTTCATCATCATCATCATCAACGTCATGGACTTCATCATCATCATTGTCATCGTTGACTTCATCATTGTCATCAACGTCATGGACTTCATCATCATCATTGTCATCGTTGACTTCGTCATTGTCATCAACGTCATGGACTTCATCATCAGAATCATCATCAACGTCATTGACGTCATCATTGTGACCTCATCATCATCATCATCACCATCATTGACTTCGTCATCATCGTCATCAGCGCCATTGACTTCATCATCGGCTTCATCACCATTGTCATCATCTGCTTCATCAGCATTGACGTTGTATGGTCCCACCTGTCCCACCTGTCCATCTCACCTGTCCATCTCACCTGTCCATGTCTCACCTGTCCATCTCACTTATCCATGTCCCACCTGTCCCATCTCACCTGTCCATGTCTCACCTGTCCATCTCACCTGTCCCACCTCACCTGTCCATCTCACCTGTCCACCTCACCTGTCCCACCTCACCTGTCCATCTCACCTGTCCACCTCACCTGTCCATCTCACCTGTCCATCTCACCTGTCCATGTCACCTGTCCATGTCTCACCTGTCCATCTCACCTGTCCATCTCAACTGTCCATCTCACCTGTCCATCTCACCTGTCCCACCTGTCCATGTCCCACCTGTCCACCTCACCTGTCCATCTCACCTGTCCATCTCACCTGTCCATGTCTCACCTGTCCACCTCACCTGTCCCATCTCACCTGTCCATCTCACCTGTCCATCTCACCTGCCCATCCCACCTGTCCATCTCACCTGTCCATCTCACCTGTCCATGTCTCACCTGTCCATGTCTCACCTGTCCCATCTCACTTGTCCCATTTCACCTGTCCCACCTGTCCCATCTCACCTGTCCATCTCACCTGTCCACCTCACTTGTCCCATCTCACCTGTCCATGTCTCACCTGTCCATGTCACCTGTCCATGTCTCACCTGTCCATCTCCCCTGTCCATCCCACCTGTCCATCTCACCTGTCTCACCTGTCCATCTCACCTGTCCATGTCTCACCTGTCCATGTCTCACCTGTCCATGTCCCACCTGTCCATCTCACCTGTCTCCCCTGTCCATGTCTCACCTGTCCCACCTCACCTGTCCCATCTCACCTGTCCATGTCTCACCTGTCCCACCTGTCCATGTCCCACCTGTCCCACCTCACCTGTCCCACCTCACCTGTCCCACCTGTCCCCCCAGCACTCGACGCTGTCCCGGAAGTTCGTGGAGGTGATGACCGAGTACAACGCGACCCAGTCCAAGTACCGGGACCGCTGCAAGGACCGGATCCAGCGCCAGCTGGAGATCAGTGCGGACACTGACCGCTGCTGTGGTCACTCTGGGGTCATCGGGGTCATTGGGGTCATCAGGGGTCATCGGGGTCACCAGGGGTCAGTGGTCACTCAGGACAAAGGGACACAGCGGTCACTGTCCCTG